GCGCGGGCGGCGGCGCGCGCGCGGGCCTCCTTGAACTCCACCCACTCCTTGAAGTGCTTGTGCGCCTTGGGCCGCCACAGCGCGTTGGGGCGGAACGACGCCGCCACCACGCTGCCCCAGAAGCTCCAGAAGCGGCCGCTCACGGGCAGCCACGGCAGCGCCTCGGGTTCCGCGCCCCGCGCCACCGCCGCGTCGCGCCGCGCGCGCACCTCCCGGCTCATCTGCAACACGCGCAAGCGGCCGCGTGAGAAACATGGCGGTGAAGAGGAGAGGAAATCGTAAACAAATGGAAGTAATCGCGAATGACTGGAGAATAATATACAGGTTAAATGAAGTCTTAGGCTTCCGCGGCCAGAGTCATGTGCGTGATCTGGGCTGTCCGGGTGACGCCGCGTCGAAGGCTGTGTTGCCGACGTTTCGACCATCTTGTCGTGGACTTCCTCAGGGCTTGTATGCGCCATGGGCACGCGCCCGGGTGCTCACCGGACCGCACCGCTTCACGCCGTCCGATCACGCGCCACCCGACTTGACCCCCCCCCCCACGCACTTCCGATTGGCCAGCTGCTCCAGCCAATAGTACTCGGCCCAGACATGCATATACACCCTAGCGCTGGCCATCAAGGAAATATACAGATTGCCCCGTAAGGAAACTTCGAAAATAAGCTCTTAAGGCAATTTTAAGAATTCTTGCCCTTGGATATTTCGCATGGCTGAGCCGCAATATGCACTCAAACGTTTGTTTGAAAAAATACATTCTACGCAAACATTTGCATTGCAGAAACATATAGACACTTCATAAACATGTATTTTTGTATTTCCAAAAGAAATGAATGTATATTTTCAGAAAGAAAAATTACACAAATATGAAAAAAATAAAATCAATCGAATTGTGTAAATGGGGTCTTTTCCTTGAAGCCAAGGATTTGTTGATCGAATCAATAACAGATGTCCCTTGCAAATAAGCAATCAATTGCTTGAATCTTGCACTGATTAATGCTTTATTGTTATTTGCAGTCACGTTCTGTCATCGATTGATCTGTTGGAACATCGCCAACTGATCGTATCGTTTACGCGAAGCTTTTGCAAATGGAACTTCCCATCGATCGGGGCTCATATTTGTAACCGTCCTATGTGCATTTCAGGTTTACTTAGTAGCCGTGGACAAGCTTAAATCTTCACAATTCTTTCGGAAATTTACTAATACCAGCGTGGGTTCATAATCTTCTAATTTGCGTTTCTGTGCACAATGAAAAAAATAATAGTGATTACGCAACAAGTGTAACAAGAGTGGCCTTGAGGTGCATTGCGTGAGGGAAATGTGTAACGCACTAACAAAGAACGAATCTTGTTTTTTTTTCAGATATGTGATATTTCTCAGAGAACGTCTAAATAGCTTTCAACGTATTGTGTTGAGTTGTGTTTCGTATTGCGATTCATTTGAACAAGGAAACACGCCATTTTTGAGAAAGCAAGCGTAACGAATGCACGGCAACGATTTTGATTGTCATAATTATACTTGTTTTACTGATAAGACTGAATCAATTTATTATTTTGTCACACCGAAGTGAAATAATAAATTATCAATGCTAAAAAAACCGCAAGATAACGTCCAGGTTGAGATGAAATGTCCCTTTATAATATTGGGCTCATAAATGAAACATTCCTTCAGATTATTTGGCTCACTTGTTTTTTTAGGCACACAGCAGAATAAGTCTTAATATATAATACAATGTAATACAATAATACAATACTTGTATTAAATGTAAGCAGTATGTTTCAATTAACACGCTAACTTTTCGTGGTTCCTAGTGAACGCAACGAGCTACAACCCGCTTGCCGAGGGAACAGCGCGCTGGGCTGTATGCCGAACGAACGGTCACACGTCGTTCCTACCCGATGCGGCAATAAATGACTATTTTTTACTGATATGTCATTGCTTGTAATTGCTTTTGGAGCTCGAAATACACTGCAAAAAGCACCTGGATCGAGAAGATCGTGGGCCGAGGGAATGATGAAAACATTTGAATGATGCTACATCTCATATGGAAAGAATTAAGAAAGGGAATAAAGAGAGGGAATTATGTGAGGGGAAATCTTGTACAATCCGAGACAAGTTTACATCTAGTTAATTAGTAAATACATCAACCTGAATGATTAAAATTTCCTCGGGCAAAAAACGTTCTGGCTTTATGAATTGAATTGAATTGATGCCTTATTTCACGTGGCGAGACTCAGACCATGAGGTCTAACTCTACCGTCTGACCACGTAAATTTCGCTACGCTCCTTTCACCAACTAGCGGAGAAAGGAGGTATTTCTAGGGCGACTTGAATTTAGTTCAGAGGCTTCATTTAGGCTTGAGGATCTTTTACATGCAGTAAATCTACGAACATGGAGAACCGGATTTACTTCCCCTTCGCAGGAAGGTATATTCAAATAGGATCATTGGAACCCTTGTAACACCCTTGGTGACCTAAAGAACTACTATGAATTAAATTGAATTGAATTGAATTGAATGCCTTATTTTACGTGGCGAGACTCAGGCCATGAGGCCTGCTCTTCCGTCTGACCACGCAAATTTCCCTGCGCTCCTTTCACCAACTAGCAGAGAAAGGAGGTATTTCTTGGGCGAGAAATAGGCTATTTGAATTTAGCTCAGTGGCGTAATTTAGGCTTGAGGATCTTTTTCATGCAAGTAGTAAATCTACTAACATGGGTCAGTCGGTTTTACTTCCCCTCCGTCCGGGCGTTCGAAGGATTCTTTCCCCCTTAAAACTCCACGGGATTCGGTTTGAACCCGCTAACTTGGGTACAACAGTCGGACACGGTAACCGTTACACCATCGCTGCGCACCATGTCACCGCATCGCCAAGAAGTCTCATCGCTCACCTGCAGGATGAGGCCCGCAGGCACAGTGAGGATGCCGACGACCAGCAGGATCCAGCCGGCGCTGTAGGCGCCCATGGGGAACTCCACCTTGTTGTACAGGAGCGGCTCCAGCCGCGCCAAGGAGTACAGCAGGATCACCACCAGCAGGACGGGGGTGATGATGCCCCAGCACAGGCGCCAGTACGCGCTCACCCGGAAGCCCAGCATGAACTCGATGTCCTCGCACAGGTTGTCCACCCCTGAGCACAACCGGGCACGGCAATGAACACGACATATCGGGATATTGGGAGGGAACGTTTCTTTTAATACATTGAACCGACGCGTACACCACGGGGAGAACGATTTTGCACACCTTGTCCACCCCTGAGCACAATCAGGCACGGCAATGAAACGACATATCGGGATATTGGGAGGGAGCATATCTTTAGATACATTGAAGCGACACGTACACCACGGGAAGAACGATTTTGCACAGGTTGTCCATCC